AAGAGGAGTACAGAGGAGCAGGGATTGCGGCGTGGCCATCCCCCCTGGGGGGTGATTTCTCGCTTTTTGTCTCTCTGTCTCTCTCTGTCTGGCGAACACACGCGCCCTATAGCGAAAACCACTCCAAAAAAAAAAAAGCTGTCATTCACATCCTAACTTTTACGAAGGCACCAACCTGGTACGTGACAAGACTAAACGCCGTCATTCATCCACAGTTAACGCATTTCTTTTTTTCCCTCCTAGATCCCATTCAGGAAATCACATTGCATTTCATCATCACACGTCCTTCGCTCCCTCTGTTCTGTGGGAATTTCTCAGACTGTCCTTGTGTTCGTGTCCTTGCCAGTTTGGGGGAATACCAGTCGGGAGTCGGGTGTCTGATAGAAGCCTCCCAGTGTGGGTTGGTCTGAGTTTTTTCTCATGGTCAGACAGGGCTCATGGATTCGGGGAAGGAAGATCCCAGGTGTAAAGGGCCATCGTCATCACACTTGATCAGGGGTGCCTGCTGTCACACTGACACCACGGTCAGTGTCGAGCAGTCACCTGGCCAGGGTAATGTTCAGTGGTTTCTTCACTGTCAGGTTACCTTTCCCGTCTGCCGTGCTGGGCTTCTGGAAGGAAGTTACTGTGGTCAGCCCACACTTCGGAGTGGGAAGGTGTTCCTTCCACCCAAGGGGAGGAGCTCATAAATAATCTCTAATTCTGAGCAGGAGGTCTAGCCATTCTGACCCTTTTTTTCTTTTTCTTTTTCTTTTCTTTTTAGAGATTTTGTTGTAGGGTGGGTGTGCTCTCCAGAGAGACAGAAAACAAGAAATCACCCCGCTGGGGAGATGGTCACACTGCAATCCCTTCTCTTCTATCCTCCTCTCAGGATGTTGGGCACACACACATACATGCCCAGCATGTTTTAAGCTGCCAGTTCTGGGACTTGAACCACGGTTGATTACATGGGAGTCCAGAGAGGTAACCGTTACACCATCTGCTGGTTTTTTCCTTCTATCAGCGTGGACTCAGGATATTTATTTTAAACTCTGAGTTATAGTTCAATGCAGTATTATTAATTTGCTGAAATTGTTGCACCTTTGGCCCGTGAGAGATTCTTCTGGTGGGCTCCTGTGTCTTTCTGACACGTCTTATTCTGTGTTTGAGCACCTCCTTGTCTGTGGTGCTATGGATGTCCCGGGCTGGTGACACTGCCTGTCCCTCACCTAGTCCTAGAATGAGTCATTTTTCTGAGGAGCCCTTTTGTTGAATAAATAGAAAACCCAAGGTCTGGGCTCTGGAAGGGCTGGTCTGTTTTGAAGCTACTTCCTAATGAGATAATATTGACAGCGAACTCTATAGCCGAAAACCCAACCCTGCAGTCGCTCAGAGGAACAAATCATGCTCCTTGTCAGTAGTGTATGAGGTTTGAGTTCTGGTTTGGAAAAGTCGATGTCAGTAGCCTCTGCAAATATTTGAAGAACACAGCATGTCATGGTCAACTGGGAGGGCATCTTCTGGGTCGGGACAGCTCTGGGTGAACTCGTGAGAATGGACCTGTTCCTGAAATAGCCTGTATCAGGCAACTTGGGAAGCAGCTTCTCGGAGGTGGTCTGATTATGAGGCCAGGGCTCGTTTTGCTTAGGGGAAGCTGACCTGCAGGCAGGCATGGTCACTTCTCGCAGATGCCATTTCTGCCTCCAGGTTTCGTGCCTTCCTTTCTGGTTAGTGCAGGAGTACTCACTGTGGAAGGTCGGCCAGCGTTTCCTTACTGGAAGCTCGGCAGAGGCTTCAGAGACTTCAGGGAGAAAGAGAAAGGAGGCTTCCCCAGATGCAGTGTTTTTTCCTTTTAGTTACCTGTGACTGCTCAAGGCCCGGACCACACTGATGGCTTTCAGTGTCCCGGAAGGTGCCATCTGGGCTCTGGGCATGTGTGGCTGAGACTCTAAAGAAGCACTCCTCTGTGGCACATGGCCTGGATAAGGGACACTTCGAGTATGCCTGGCACATGGCCAAAGAATCGAGTGACTTAGTAGGCCATTAAATCATACTGTGAAATTTTAGAAACGGAACATTGGACCATGGTTCCAGGAAGCTCCTCATGGAGGTCCACCAAACCTTACTGCTGTGTCACCCAGCCAGGCGTGTTGACATAGATGGAAATATCGGATGGGTGTGGGCACACTCACTGTGGCCCTCACATTGGACTCCCTCCTCCAAAGGTTAACTGGTCATCCCCTACAAGACCATGAAAAGCCTCCAGGTGAACATCATCCACCAGGATGGGCCAGAGGGAGGAATTACCTGGGTCCTTGGAGGCATGCTTGCTCCATCCTTCACTCTGACGATTTCTTTGGTTTGCTGTAACTTAAAAGCCACATTATGATGGGGACTAGCAGGTGCAGGTGGAGAGTGGCTAAGGCACTGGATGCCCACATGGAGGAGCATGGTTTGAGTCCCAGACCTGGCAGCTTAAAAATCATGCTGGGCAAATGTGAGTACATGCCCAAAATCCCAGGAGGAAAAGGGATTGTGGCATGGCCTTCCCCCACTGGGGGGGTAATTTCTCATTTTATCTCTCTCTCTCTGGTGAGCACATGTGCCCTATAGAAAAAAAGAGGAAAAAAAAAAAAAGCGCCACATTATGATGATTTTCTAAAGCCCAAAGAGATTGCAACATTAGTTTGAAGCATTCTCCCATTCAAATAATCAGTAATCACTGGCTCTAAATTGGCATTCATGTTAATGCTTCTGCTGGAAGCTTAGGGGTTTTTTTTGTATTTTTTTTGTTTGTTTGTTTGTTTTTTTGGAGAGGTTTTTGCTATAGGGCGCGTGCGCTCACCAGACAGACAGAGAGAGACATAGAGACAGAAAGCGAGAAATCACCCCCCAGGGGGGATGGTCACGCCGCAATCCCTTCTCCTCCATTCTCCTCTCGGGATCTTGGGCATGCACGCACATGCGCTCGGCATGAGTTTTAAGCCACTGGGTCTGGGACGCGAACCATGGTCGACTACGTGGGAGTCCAGCGACATAGCCATTACGCCAACTGCTGGTTCCCAGGAAGCTTAGGTCTTTAGCAAAGTATGACTTCAGTTTCTCACTGAACCATTACAGAGACCCAGGATGGCTTACCCTCTGTGGTCTTAAGGCACTGATCCAGTTCAGATTCAGGGGAGGTGCTTCCTTATCTCGGTTCTTTATGGTGTTACTGCTATGGGAAGTATTTGGGCTCTAACACTAAGCTTAGCCCAGGAGGGGTGACTCCTCTGTCAGGACAGGAATCAGGGGAGTAAGTTGTGCCCCACCATGCATGGTGCTGTTTTGGAGATATATTTTCCCCCGGGGGGTGATTTCTCACTTTCTCTCTCTGTCTCTCCAACGAGTGCACGCACCTTATAGCAAAAATCTCTCAAAAAATAAATAAATGAAAAATGCCTTACAGGATTTATTACTGATTTAATAGTTTTTTTTTTCCCCTATGCATTTTCAGTATCTGCAAGTATATCCCACCAATTTTCAAAAATGGCAACTGTGTTATCATTTAATCCTGTGGTTTGAAGTCAGTACTCAAAATACCCCACCTTTGACATGAAGGGAAAAATACCTCCTTAGACCTAGCAACTTGGAACTCAGGGACTCTATTATGCGAGTGCCCTGGACAAGTGGCCCTGTCACTGCAAATGTCCCAGCCTAAACTGGTGAGCTATCATTCACAGCTACAGCCTAGGCATGGTTTCATGTTACACCTCCCGTCTCTCTGAGAATATCAATGGAAACAAGCATTCTTGCTCTGTCTCTGACTCTCCACATTATAGATTTGTCCTCTCAGCGTTTCACCTTGGTTTTGAGCTGTTATGTTACAGACCTTCGTCAGTGTCTGGTGGTCCCTGGCTGTCTGCTCACTTTTATGAGTGGGGCCCAGGCAGCTGACAAAGCTGTGAACACTGCAGTGTCATCTGTCACTTGTGGAGGCCTCGCCAATAGCTGGTCCAAAGGGACCACTTGTCCTGGATCCTCGAATTTTCAGGAACTTCAGGCCTTCTCTACTGGGCTGGTCAGATTCCTCAGAGACCACTCCTAACGGGGTTCCCGTGCGCTGGGCACCGAGGAGAGGAAGACGGCCCGGGCACTCGGCACTGTCTCCTCCCCTCAATGCCCCTGTTTTCCAAGAGGTGACTCTTCCCTCAACCATGCCAGAGCCCTCCGTTTCACCACGTGCAGAGATGACATTTGGGTCCTGCCAAGGTCAGGGAGGCTTGGTCACCAGGCATGCCAGGGGAACTGTGGGCACTGCGCTCGCTAGCTAGACTGCCAGCAGCCTGCTCTGGGACTGGCTTCGCACACTTCCAGAAGGACCTGTTGCCACACTTCTGGATCTGCAGGGAACGGAGATGGGGCGAGAGCTCCAGTTTCCAATCAGCTTAAGGTGATGTTTTCTGGAGTCTGTTAAATCCGTTTCACTCACCCATCTGCCTCCCAGCATTCCAAGTACTGTCTCTTCTGTTATTCTCTTTATTAGGTCTTGAGAAATTTACCAGCCGATAATTACTCTAACTAGTTAGATTTCTAGATGTGCTGCTGGTTCAGTGTGGCTCTGTACACATCCACATGCTTTCAGGCACCTTTTAGTATTTTCTTAATGCTGTAAAATTATATTAATAAACACACGTAGCCTCAACCGACCGAGCAGCATAGTACCCTAACTAGGTCTGGGGCAGGAATACCTGGTCTTCCTCACTGGCCCGGTGACCCATTCGGATGCCCCTCTATTGGCTGTGCCACCATCTGCCCATCTGCCCACTGCAGGGTGCCCAGGGCAGGAGTGGCACATTGGGTCTCAGTCATCAGGTGAGCAAAGCAGGGGGCTGCAGCTCTAGGACGATGCACGACCCGCCCAGTCAGGCAGGTTCGCCGTCTTTCTCCGTAACACCTCGGGAACCACATCACAGCAACGTTCTCGTTGCACTGGTTCATGCCGTTTCCCGCCAGCCTCACTCAGTGTCTTCTCTCCCCAGCTCTGTTTCGTGATGTTTTGGACCCCCAACGTTTCCGAGAAAATCCTGATAGACATCATTGGAGTGGACTTTGCCTTTGCAGAACTCTGTGTGGTTCCTCTGCGCATCTTCTCCTTCTTCCCAGTTCCAGGTAAAGAAACACAGAGGGGAGAGACACTCCTGTTTACCCTCATGCCCAGTTATCAAGCCCATCACCAATAAAAAGGTAAAATTTCATAGTGGATAAGAAAGATGCACGGATGTTAGCCATGAGGTTCAAAGCTCAAGAAATACATCGGACAGGCATCGTTTGTTTTCTAGAGCAGTGGTCACAAACACAACCCAAGAAAGTACTTCCCAAAGGATAGCACGCGGCATGGGGAGGAGATAGGACCCCTGTCATGACTGTGCCGGTCATTACGTAAAGCTATGCACCTACAGAGTCAGTAGCCCTTATGCAAAATGCTTGGGCCCAGAAGTGTTTTGGATTTCAGATTCTTTTGGATTTGCATGCACATAATGAGTTATCTTATAAGTGGGATCTGAGTGTGAACCCGAAATTCATTTCTGTTTTCTAAATGCCTTATACATCTACCAGGGGGTTAATCTTATGCAATATTCTTGTAATGCAGTGTTTGGATTTCCACTCATCCCCTGAGGATAGCTATGGAAATTTCCACTTAAAACATCAAGGTGTGAGATCTGAAGCATTTCAGATTTCAGATTTTTGGATTAGGGATGGCCAACCTGTATTTAAATTTTTAGAACCATATACCAAAAGCAATTTTACAGTAGGCTAATTTTAAAAGTAAAATCTAAAAAGAACAAAGAAAGTAGCCAAACCCAGAGATATCCAGAAAAAGAGAACTGCTGGAGAAAAGAAGAATCCTGGCGCAAGGCTGAGGCCAGACGGCGTATGGTTAGAAAAGAGAATGCCCGCAGCTAGAGCAAAGCCAGTCTGCAGATTGCCAGGCTGCTATGGTAGCGTGTTACACTGTACAGGATGGAGCAGTTCTAGGTTAAATGAGAAAGCAGGTTGCAGAGTGGCTGGTGTGTCTGTAACAAATGCACAACCGTATCGTGTCTGTGTTACGCTGTGTACGCGGTGAGCGCTTGCGTGTCTACATTGTGCTTCCAGTGGCTGCCTGGAGGAAGTAGGACAAGGGTGTAGAAGGGACCACAGGTTAAAGGACTCTACCTCATTCCCCTTCCCACCCTCTAGAGTCTGTACCTAGCGCATGTCACCTCATCAGAACTCATTTGCCCCCCAAATCCTCCAAAATCATTACACTGCGAAGCGAGACTCTACAAAGGCAGGTCAGTTCAGACCTGGCTGCAGAGCTCATCCCAGCCAGGGCAGAGGGCACAGCGCTGCTTGTGCCATCCCTGAGGCCTGCCACAGAATCCCCGATCGTAGACGCCCGGCACGCCCAGAAACCAGGTCTGACGGGTGGCACCTTCCGGCTGTGGCAGAAATAGAGGAATGGACAGAAGACCATGGCAGTGGGTGGCGTGTGCCTTGTCCAGAGACACCAGTGAGCAAGCTTGGGAAGCTGACGCCACCTAGAGGCCGCTGCTGTCATAGCGTGAGCCATGTCAGAGCTCATTTCCCATGGTCGTGACCCCTGGAGGGGCTGGGGGTTCTGGAGAGCTTGGGAGTGCAATTTCCACTCCCTCCTGGCTTGTGAGAGGCAGGGCTTCAGCAGAGGTCAGGCCTGGCACTCTTTGCCTTCTGTTGGGCTTGGGCCGGCCAGATTAGCACATGCCCATGCCTCTCCCTGGGCAATCCCCATGGCCTGTGCCTGAGAGAAGAAAATGAACCTCCCAAACGCACCACATCCACCCTGGGAGAGGCAGAACTCACTGTCCGACCAGGAAGACAGTGGAAGCCACCCTCAGACAGACACCAGGGGGACTCCCCCCTCCCCTGGGGAGCTCTGCTGGTGCTGCTCATGTGCAGGGAGGACCCCCACCTTTGGTCCCTGGGCCACACACTCCCCTGCGCCCTTTCTAGTGTCAGGCAGGAGCTGACATCCAGGCCACCGTTTGCTGCCCAGGGCAGGGGTCTGTGCCCTCCATGGCAGCTTCGTGCAACACCTCACACACTGCCTCCTGCAGCCACTGTCCCGCCAGGCCACAGCCCTGCCCTGCAGCTCCACAGTAGGGTGGGAGACAGGACCAGGAAGTCGGTGTGTACTTGTGAAACAGCTACACGTCCCACAGTGGCAGCACTGTCAGGGAGGGGAAGGGGAGTGACCGGGGCTCCATGGTTAGGGACTACTGGGGATGCACAAGGGACAGGGCTGAGAGGCCTCCCTCTGCTTTAGCCTCCCCGCTGGCCCCCGGGCCTCTCTCTGCCCTGTAGAGGCGGGGGTAATGGAGGGAGACGGCTTGTGGCCCCAGTGTTTCCACTCGCCCAGCATCAACCTTCCTCGGCATGATGCCGCTTTCTGGATTTTCTTTTCTACTGAGGGTTGATGAGCCTGAGGCTGGCAGGGGCGGGGTGCAGGCTGGGCCCACTGGGAGACAGCAGTCATGGTCACGGCGATGCAAGGAATTGCCCATGGCCGGCTGTCTACAGCAAGGCTGTGAGGCTGTGGGAAGCCCTGTAGGAACAAGGGCTGGGCCCAGGCTCAGAAGCCAGATCGGCAAATGAGTGGGAAGATGAGAAAGCCACCCAGGACCACAGCCGCATAGCCGGGGCCCTGGGCAGCCCTGGGCCAGAGGCGACAGAGTGGGGAAGTGGGGCACACTGACCACCCTCTGCTCCTCCCGCAGTCACTGTGAGGGCCCATCTCACTGGCTGGCTGATGACCCTGAAGAAGACCTTTGTCCTGGCCCCCAGCTCTGTGCTGCGGATCATCGTCCTCATCACCAGCCTCGTGGTCCTGCCCTACCTGGGGTAGGTCATCGGGGGACTTGGGGCTGTGGGTCCTTCTGCCACCTAAATCCTCTGCCCAAAGGGTCAAAGTCTGCTTTTTCATGTGACATCCCCAAGCATTTTTGGAATTCGAAGTTCAAGACGATGTCCTCTGTCTGCCTGGGCACCAGGTGGTGGCCCGAGGCCGGCCATAGCCCCTCCAGGGGCAGAGTTCAGTGAGCACCTTTGTGGCGGAGCAGGCACTGTGCTGGGCTCAGCACGGGCCAGGAGGTGGACAGAGCACAGCAGGAAGGACATCCCCCGCCCTCTAAGTGCCCAGGCTCGCAGAAGGCTGGAGGGTGCTGCGGGTGACAAGCAGAAGGGGCGCCAACTCGTCAGCCTAGACCGAGCTGAGTTCGGAGCAGGGGAGTGACCGTGTTGGTCCCCAGAGACAGCCGGCTCAGCCCTGAGTTCCAGGCACCCCCCCACACAGATGGGAGGAGGTTCATAGGTGCAGCCCTTACCCCAGCCAGTGGATCGAGAATGCCCTTCGTCTCGCCCCTCCCTGGCCTATACCCCCTGGGACTGAGCCTTGCCAGTTGGGTTGTGGCATGCATGCCTTTGTGCCTGGACTTGGCTCTAACAGATGATCACGTTTGCGTTCTCATTCCCAGGGTCCATGGAGCCACACTAGGTGTGGGCTCCCTGCTCGCTGGGTTCGTGGGAGAGTCCACCATGGTGGTCCCCGGGGGCAGCCGGCTCAGCCCTGAGTTCCAGGCACCCCCCACACAGATGGGAGGAGGTTCATAGGTGCAGCCCTTACCCCAGCCAGTGGATCGAGAATGCCCTTCGTCTCGCCCCTCCCTGGCCTATACCCCCTGGGACTGAGCCTTGCCAGTTGGGTTGTGGCATGCATGCCTTTGTGCCTGGACTTGGCTCTAACAGATGATCACGTTTGCGTTCTCATTCCCAGGGTCCATGGAGCCACACTAGGTGTGGGCTCCCTGCTCGCTGGGTTCGTGGGAGAGTCCACCATGGTGGCCATAGCCGCCTGCTATGTCTATCGGAAACAGGTGAGAGACAGCGGCCAGAGCCACACACCTGCCTGGCTGGGAAGCCGCCTCCAGGTGGAGGGAGACTGGGGTCCATGCCTGCATGGGAGGTGGCAATGGAGGGGCCCTATTTACTCGCCCCATGCTTCAACAGTACCTGCCTTCTCACCATGACCCAGGGCCACTTCTGTGTGTGCAGAGCCCTCGGGGCCTACTGGCTTAGCCCTCAGTCAGCTGAGGAGCAAAACAGGGTCATCGTGCTTTTGTTATGTAGATCATTCCTTAGCCCTGCCTTGTTTCAAAGGTGGTCCTGTTTCTCAGGAGACACTAGAAGGATGGATGCCTATAATCTTCATCCTAGTGTCACCTCCAGAGAATTAAAAAATGTAGAAACTAAATAATACTTGTGAAAGGTAAGAAAATCCTGAGGAATGTAGCCCTTGCACCTGAATTCCCTACCTCAGTAGGTCCTCGTAAACTCAGACTTCCTCACTAAGGAATGACGGACGAGCCTAGAAAATAATGAATAATCAGAATATCTTCTCCTCTCTTTGTCTCTACAAATCCTTTCCCCTCCTTAAGCCCGTTCCAGAGAGCCTTTCCTAATGCTGGTCTACCCCACTGACCACGCACGTGTGCACGTACACACACACGGTTTTCATACTCTCAACCCTTTAGTACCTTCGCTTGGCAGGTAGGCTCACCAGGTTATTTGGGGATATTTTTCTTTTCTAAGACGTGAGTTCTCAGGGAGCAGGAATCCTTTTACCTTGTCACAGAAAAGTGACAAGACAGGGAGTTGATGCAACTACAGAAGAGAAAGGGCTCTGGGGCATACCAGTTCAGAGGCTGGGGAGCCAGCAAAGAACTAGCAAAAGCTAGTGAGAAGAGATCGGGAAACCGGGAGAGTAGGGGTCCTACAGACTTATCTCTATGGAGGAGGAAGGGGCAGCTATGCTGATAGAAGGGAGATGCAGACCAGGATGGAGTGATGGACTTTATTAGTTGGGGGTGGGGTGTCATTGGTGACCTTGCCCTTCCCCAGATACTCTCATGGCCTCAGGGTGCTGGAAGCCTGATGGGCGTGGGGTCAAGAGAAAATGGGAGAAAGGGAAAACCCTTTTGCAAAGCTGTGTTGTAAAGGAGAGAGGTGTGGGTGTGGATTGCAGACAACCAGTTAAGACAGTCAGCCTACTGTATGCTTCAGGCAAGGGGCCAGCAGGTGGCACGGGACAGCGATGCACTGGGCTCTGCCCCAGACGAGCTCAGCTGCTGGCTCTTGGTAGCAGCCATTGGAGATGCAGTCACAGAGCTGGCCAGGTCCTTCCTGATTGTGTCCTTTTTTCTCGTAGAAAGTAGGAAGCCAGATCACCAGTTGAGGAGAGGGAAGTGTTGGAGGCCTGGAGAGAGGGGACGCCATGTGCAAGGGCGAGGCAGTGGGCCAGGACACTGGCTGGTGCAGCTCGGGCTTCCAACGCAA